CATAGTTGTGACGTTTTAGGATAAGAGCGCGTAAAATAGTCAGTGGGCGCTTGACTTTGGTAGTCAGGTTGGTTTATGGCTTGACTTTGGTAGTCAGGTTGGTTTATGACTTGACTTTGGTAGTCAGGTTGGTTTATGTCATTCTTCTGAATTTGACTATGAAGATCATCCTTTGATCTGTAAATGGCTCATATTGCTACAACTTTTTAAAATCAAGTTTCGGTATGTATCAATCGTTTTTTTTTGGCGTGTTAGTAAAATACTGTAATTAACTAGACTTGTAATTTCTGCAAGTAAAGCAATTAAGTCTGTCTTAAATGATTGAATAGCTTCTTTGAATTTATGAGAATTGTATATTAAAAATACTAATGTATTTCAAGAGTTATTTCCCTTTCAACTCGCTTGTCTTACATTTATTTAAAATATGATTTAGAATATTGCTGTTGGGTGTACGATGTAACGATTTCATAGTTTCCGCAATCGTTTTCTTCTCGATCCTTAATATGCTTCCCATTAAAAAAATGCTGCTGAGTGTCATAGATCTATTTGGAAATAATATGTGTGAATATATAGATCTACTTTCATTACTGATTCCACACCGTCGCTTTGAATATCTTTAAACAAATGTGCCTGTAGAATATAGTAGGATTATGGGCTATGGAAAGGCTAGAAGCCATTATGCAGATGATTACTTCTTGCGGTGGAGCCTGCTAATATTAATACCTGATTTTAGGCTTATAAGCCCCTAAATCATACTTCTTGTCTTAAGCGAAATGTCTTGCCATTTTCGAAAGCTATGAACGCCACCTTACGACGTGTACCATTGAAAATGAACAGCTTGAGATGGAAACACTAAAAGGACTTTTAATCGTGAAGTAGGCCTACACTAGATTGCAAGAACCTATTTTTTGTAATGTGTGCATGAAGTAGGCCTACACTAGATTGCAAGAACCTATTTTTTGTAATGTGTGCATGAAGTAGGCCTACACTAGATTGCAAGAACCTATTTTTTGTAATGTGTGCATGAAGTAGGCCTACACGGTTTCAGAGCAACAGCTTCGAAAACTGAAGACACGATCAATATAAATTAAAATAGCGTGTTTTTGTATGCACTGTTGTAATGACGAATAGGCCTACATATCTGATATTGCTGGACTTCTGAACAAAGCTCCTCAACCCCCTCCCCCCCCCCTTTTTTTTTTTTTGGTCTCGTGATCGGCACGCTGGTGCTCCGCTATCGCTCCCGAAAATCTCTTCATGAAGTGTTAAACTATTTGTGTAATGATCAGTTATTGATAGGGATGTCATGTGTTCAATATAAGGACTAACTTTTTTTCGTCTTTCCTTTACACAATTAATGTCAGATAACATTTGAGTTTGACGAGCATATTTTTTTTTCTTCAGAATTCATATTATCTTTTAAAGTATTGACGTTTTATCAGTATGTGGGTAGTATAGCGATGGGTGGTGTATCCTTCCAGTTCAATGTTAATTTAAGTCAAGCGAAATTTCATTCTAATTTAGGTGTGGTTTCACTTGCATTAAAAACTAGGTAGAGCTTCATATAAGAAAGTCTGGATTAATAGGGCCTATATAATTCAACAATAACACTAAATACGCAATCGACAAGACTTACTATTAGGTAGTATCCAGAGAAAGCTGAATTCTTCAACGTCTTCCCAGGGACTAAAACCTTCATCCGCACATGTAAGATTAGCTGTTACACCGTAAAGCAGATCTTGGTATCTGTTGGAGTGCCATTTTTGTCCTGTATGACCCAGTACCAGCCCAACAGAGGCCAACAATATTATTAAAGAAACCATTTTGTCAGCTGAAAATTAGCGTAATTTGTAATGTAAGTTTTTTTTCCAGAATCACATTTTTTTAAAAAGCTACAAAAAAAAAAAAGACAGATGGAAAAGAGAGGGTGGGGTGAAAATAATTATTAAATTAATAAGAATAATAACTATTGGAAAATTGTTCTACATGTTTCGGTTGTTCGTTGACTTGAAGATTATTAAATCCTAGCTCAAACCTCCCGCAGGATGGCATGGCTTGAACCCGGGATCATTGAGATGACATTCAAGCGCGCACATCACACAACCAGGCAGCCATCCAGCATTACGACCATAGCTAATTGAAACAATTCAAACCACATCACATTTCTAGTTCCAACATTAAAAACAAAAATCTATTAAAAATTCAACACAGTCGAAGTTAATCTAAAAGAAAATTATCTCATGATAACTTGAGTCATTTAATTAAGTTTTTCTCAAGGGCGATGACCCCAATATTTAATGTTGCACATTTTTGTAACTTTTCAATTTTAGATTTGAATTTAAATAAGTAACATACACACAAATCAATTTCTATTTCATGGTCCATCATTTCTCATTATATTAATTTCTTGTAAAGCTACATTATAGCAAGGAGTCTTTCCAGTTAGCTTTGCACAATCAACTTCCTCTATTAGCAGTTCAGCAAATGATTTTACAAAGGCATGCGAACTAGAACTACATAAGATGGTGCGCAATATGTTCATGGACATAAGATATTTGTATGTCTATGGTAGGCCATAGACTATATATATATAGTCTATAACGAAACTTGTGCTTAGTTACCCTTAGTGTTGGCAGTCCTGTATATATATAGTCTATGGGTAGGCCTACGTCTATTTATTTAATCAACTCTTTACTGAATACCAAGAAACTTTGAGTCGAGGGCGGGAATTCCAAGTAAAGTCGTTTTAATAAAATCATAAGCCAAAGTTAATTTTAAAAATAATATTTTGAAAAATTATAATCGTCTCTGTGCGACTGATTGAGTAGTTGTTTTTTTATAACCGTTTTTTTCCCTCCAAGACACACAAACTGTTCAATTTCTAGGAAAATCGTAAAAGCCATTTTCGAAATACCTGTCCAACTTTTTAAATTCCACCCTCCACAAGTGAAGAGTAGGAAATGTTAACATCAAATAATTTTAAATTATAAGATAACTGCTGAATGTATTAATTACATTAGGATTCTATTCTCCTCTCCAAATTCACAATGGTTTGGTATTAAAAGAGAGCTAGTTCAGTTAATTGGCCATATTATATATGTTAGTAAATCATACTTACTTTTACTTTGTAACGAAAACAATTAAATAAGGCAATATAATAGTCTCATACAATACTATACTCTCTGTAGTAAGCAAGCCAAGATTATGTTAGTCTGAACAAGTAATTTATTCGCTAGCATGAAGTTAAAATTTGTGACACATTACAACTGATAAAGCATGAAATGGGCTAGCAGAGGTTAAGGCAAGGGAAGTAATTATGTAGGCACAATGATGCTGGGATTATATCTATAAGAGTCCAATCAATACTAAACCAACAGAATGTCTAGTCATTAAACATATTAGTATTTAATGAATTAAATGAAATAGTATGCAATGAAAGGAATTAAAGGCCGTAGTGTTTGGACATTGTAAAGAACTTAAGTTTGTGACGACAAAACTTTAATAAATGAATGAATTCACGCACTTATATATGGAACAGAAGGATGAAATATACTTCGGTTTATTGTATGAAAAGTCAATTGAAATATATTCAGTTTTAGCAGATGTCAAACAGTGTAGCAGTATGGTGTCAATGACAAACTATCCGTTAACCTGTTATAATAAAAATAAACTGTATTACTTACAAAAAAAAACAGAAAAGCTTTTAAACTAGTAGAAACACATCTCATTGAGGTTTATCTGGATCAGATGTTTTTTTACAAACTGATAAAGCACCTTATATTAATGGCTCAAAACAATTGTATGGAGGTTTGAAAAAAAAAATTTTTTTTTAATTCAATAAAAATCAGAACAACACAATTTTCCTTCCTTATTTAATAACTGCATCATATCAACATAAAAAAAGGTCTGGTGGTGCAGTAGGTGCATTGGCCTGTTGTTCAGTCATCTTGATGGTCCGGGTTCATACCCTTCCCGCTGTCAACGCCATAGTCCTGTGGGAGGTTTGGACTAGGAAGATTATCTTCAACTCTAAAGGAACATCCAAAACATGTAAAGTATTTTTACTCTATCCAATTTTTTAAAATGTGTTACTCATTAGAGCTTAGTGAACTCAGAGACTCCCTAAGAATCCTGAAACTCCCTCTTAAAGTACCCCTTTCAGACCTTCTGGTCTATACGGCAGATGATGTAAAGGTCATCTGTTTCTGTGGCCTATGGCTTACAAGGGTGCCATGTGTCCAGCACAACGACCAACCACCTTTACTTTTCCCGAACTAATGTCAGGTACCCATTAGAGCTGGGTGAACTCGAAGGTGCCCAAGGATCCCAAAATTAAAAATCCCAGTCTTAACCAAGATTCAAACCCAGGACCTTCGGTTTGGAAGTCAAGCGCTTTACCGCCCAACCACCAAGCCTCCCTCTTGACTGGAATTAAAACTCAAGACCTACATGTTTGTAAGCTATCACTTAATCCATTGACCTGAATGCCTCTTCACATTTTATAAAGTCTTTCTTAAAATGATGTAAATCTAAATTTACTGGTACTAAACATTTTCTATTAGTTAAATCAGTGTTTCCCAAACTTTTTCCTTAACAGAACAATTTGGACATTTTGAGTTTTTAATGGAACACTTTACTTATTTTTTAGAGAGATTAATTCACATGGTGGCCTACTAGTTAATTCTTGCAGTAGTTCATGGAACACCTATTCAAGCCTTGCTGAACACTATGGTTCTGTGGAACACAGTTTGGGAAACGCTGAGTTAAATGCTGGATTGCCTTATTTCAAAATACTTAATTTTTGTTTCATACCAGTAGCTATATTAACAATAAACAATTTTGTTTCATTATTTCTGAGAGAAGATTTTAATTATAAATAAATGAAACTTGTGATGTGAAAGACTACACAACAAAACAAAACAGTCATAAAATGTTTCACAGTAGCAATGATAACTAAACTAGTATTAAAAAATCTACTTCAATCATTCAGATACAATTTTATTTTTTAAAAAAAGAAGAAGATGAAATGTTAGTAAAATGTTTTATATATCAACTAAATTTGTATACAATAATGGTATTAATCATTATTATTTGGTTAAAAAAAAATAATCATTAGTACTTGAAAAGTACATTTTAAAAAAAATGTAAGTCACAGAAAAATAGTCATGTGCTTTGTGTAGAAAGGAGACATGCAATACAAACATAAATTTGTATTAATAACTAATCTGTTAATAAATAAAGTATGGCAAAGATTTGGACAATAAAATTCTTTAGAGCATTAAATGTACTGAAATCTGGTATCATTTTTAGTTTTATTGGAAACGTATATCAAAGTATACTAAAAGAAACTAAATTAGCAACTCTGTAATAGGCACATTGTTTATTGATGTTCAATGTTGTTCACAAAAATCAGGAAAAGCAGCAAGATTTTGTATTTCAGATTTTAAGATCTATCTTTTGAAATATACAAGTATGAAAATACATTTTTGTTGTAAAATTGAAATATAGAAAAAAAAAAAAAAAAAGAACTGGCACTACATGAAATATGATACATGAAATATGATACATGAATTCACAGCACTAGTTGAATATAAAGTTAAACATATAGTGTATTTGAACAAATTAAATAGAAATTGTCAGTTCAGATTTAACTACTGTTAAAAATTGACAGATTACACTGGAACCGCCTCATCAATACTTATTAATAAATGGCACAATTGAAAGTGAACTATTTTACCCTCATACATCAGAGATCATAAAAACACTACACTTGAACATGACATGTGAGCTATATGGACATTTAAATGAGGTCACAAAATGTAGACTCAGGTGGGATAACCAGGTCTGGAGATTCTTCCAGTGACCTGCTTACAGTGCCATAACAAAAGGAAGCTACAGAAAATGATGCAGAGACAGAAGTGAATGACCTTCATGTTGAATAGAGACTTAAAAGAGGGCAAAAAAGTAAGATGTCTGCAGATAAAATGTGATTCAATGATCCAACATATTTTAAGGCACTAGACAAGAATAGTAACAGAAGACAATAGTCAACTGACAGTTTTGTTCTTTCAATGTTCTATGAAGTAAGAAATACATTAGTACCAGACTAAAGGATTAAAGAGGATCAGTAAAAGATTTAAGAGTGAACGTGGATCAGTAAGTGCAAGATGAATTAATTCAACAATAAACTTTGAGCTGCAACATATGTCTGCTAGTTAAATGAAAAGAATACCATTGGCTGAATACATTATATGAACACACTGTCTCTATAATATATTAATTAATTTCAAGATAGTATAAAATATATTTAGTCAGCGGATACATAGACATCTTTGTACAAAATGAAAAAATGTACCCTAGTATATATATTTATGAATTTATAGCTGTGAACTCTAAAATTTTAGGTTAAGTACTGGTACTAAAAGGAAATGAAAACAAATTGATAGTCTACAAAATGTAATTAGTACAACCAATCATCTTTAGTCTGTGCTCTGCCATTCAATTTATAATCATGATGTTGTTAATATTCAATAAAACTGTTTTTATAAGGCCATTTATTATTTTGAATTTCCACCATCAAAATAAGAGTTTAAATGCATGTGAATGTCTGGAAAATCTAAATAATAAAATGATTTAAAATTCAAGCATTTGAAAAACAATAGTATACTATGTATTACCAAACACATTTAATATAAGAAAAAACAAACAAAAGACTAGAATAAGTGCAAGAAAAAAAAGCTATAAAATAATCTATAATATTCAAAATTCTGTTTAAAAAATTAATATAAGATATAAATAATATTTATAATATTAACAATATAAATATTGTAAGTCAATGTAAAGTGCAGTATTTATTAGATAATAAGTTCACATTTTTAAAAGAAAGGAAACAAAATTTATTTGAATTTCAACTTTTTATTCTATTAAAAGACTTTTTTTAGTTGAGAAAAGCTAAAGATCATTATCTGCTTCTATTGAATGTGAAGTTTAAACTCATCTGATGAGGTAGGGCCTAAATAGTCTACAATATTGAAGCTTGAGACTTGCAAACGGGAAATGGTCTACGCTTCTATTCTGGTTAGACAAGATTTGTTTAACTTGAAGTAGCCTACTATCCTCTGGAAATGAGGAAAAATGAAGTCTCATTTTTATAACTAAAATAAGCAATGAAAAATTATAAAATGAAATTAATTGAAAGAAACAACTGTAGAAAACAATTTCCACCAAAAGTTTAAGAAATAGAAAATAGAATTGTGTTATTATCAATAACAGTAACTATTTATTAATACTGATGATATTATTATGCTAAATGTTTACTTTTTATCGAAAGTTTAATAAAAAAGCTGCAAGTTTTCGTAAGTTGCATGGTTGTGAATCATGTGAGCTAAACAACATTCAAAATGGCAAACCAATCACCAAAATATAAATGTGAAAAAAACAACTATGAATATGAAATTATATGAAATTAATTTCACCATTTTTTAAAAGGATTATTATGTTTATTTTAGAGTAAAACAAGTTCAGTAGTAAACAAAAAGTCAAATAGGTAAAAAAATGTGTAGTCCTAAAAAGTATAAAATAAAAACAACCAGCTATAATGTATGACCACAATGAATGCCGTACATTCAAGAGAAAGCTGAGATTCTAAAGAAGGGTTCCTAAAATGCTTAAGTTTCCATCCCTGAATGAAGACAAGATCTAAAACAGGATTTTTAACAACACAAGTTTATGTTCAAGCCTTGGACTGCATCCTTGGTGGAACAGGAGGCTGGAAGCGCTGAACTTGATCAAGAGGCAGTAGAACTCTAGAGTTTCCATCTGGCGTTAAATGGAGGTTGAGTACAGCGAAAATTTGGTTGTTTAAAATCTGGAATTTTCTTATTCTGTCCACCATCTTTTTAAGATTCTGATGAGCAAGAAAAAGAAATGATTATGTGATAAACGCAAATGTGAAGTTAATACTTTTTGCTATTTCAGTTAAATAATAAGTTTAGAGCAAGGAAATAAAGACAATTTGTCCAACTCAAGGAAATATATGAGACCAATATGATCATCAAGCTAGCTACACAAACTCAGAGTCTTTGGGCAAATCTGCCTATGTGGAGTGTCCCCAGAGAATGCTGACCATGTCCTTCAAAACTGTTCTCTTTACCAAGAGGCCCGTACAAGACACTGGCCCCAAAACACCCAAACAGAAAGAAAACTATTTGGAGCGCTCCGTGATTTGGAAACCACTGTGTTTACTTCATATATTGGTCTAGTCAACTTAACGCTCCAACATAAAAATGAGAACAAGGAAGACGAAGAAATTAGGCAAATAAAAAAAATGGATTAGATCTGCCAACAATCTACAACCTAAAAAAAAAAAAATCTATGTTTTGAACTTTTTTTTTTTTTGCAGATATAGGTAATGATAGAGCAAATTTTTTTTTTACATTGAACCAGTAGTATTTATCAACTGTGACAGTAAGGATAACAATGAATATGGCTAAAGAAGAAAAAAAAGGGGGGGGGGTAGGGAAAAAATTCAATTTAAAATTATTCCTTAAGACTAGGATAGCAAATGACACAACATATAAGTTGGTAATATTAACAAACCAAATAATATCAAACTCTAAAATGGGGTCAGAGAGTTTAGTGTTAGCCTAAATTTAAATAATCTGTTGAGCCAATATCTGTAAGAAATATTCACTATACCGGTATTGAAATGATTAATGTGCTAACAAGTATTTTGGATCTTAAAAAGAGTTAAACTATTCTCTTACAGTGACTGGGTCATCCTTCATGTCATGTCTGTTCACTTTGAGCAGATGATAACTGAAGTCTAAAGCCTCAAACCGACGTTGCTGGCCTAATAGAGTGATAAGTACACAGCCAGCCCAGTTAAGGCCTTCACCAAACATTTCTCTAAGAAAAATGGAAAACATATTGACTCAGCCCAACAAGCAAAAATATTTTTAAAATGCAAAAATTAATAAAGACAATGTAATATATCTAAAAAAAAATAAAAAAAATATTTTCATGATCAAAATTTGTTATTTTAGTTTAAATTAATATTAAACCTAGAGTAGTGGTTATATAGTCCAATATTATGAGTTACCATTTATACAGTATTTGGTTATCAGTTTGTTGCACTTAATAAATTATTAGGTTATTTGAACCTGAGTTGTCAAGCTCTTTAAGTTGGTGGTAGCTTTTTGTCTTCACTTTTAAGAAACAAAAAGAGAGTGATGGGACAATGCGGTAACAGTTTCACATAGAATTTTTAAAAAGATTATGAAATACCTAAGAACAATGTTTCTAATTACTAATTGGTAATTTTTATAGGGTTACTTTAGCATGCTTTAAGATTTCTTGGAGAAGGTTTCCATGATGCCTTTAAGTCACAAGCAAACATAGCTCTAAAAAGATTCGTAGTCTCTATAGAGTTTAAAATTTTAAAAATTAAAGACCATCATGTAGGTTAAACCACTTAGCCACATATAAGACAAAGTGATATTCAACTTACTCAACAGTAAATTCATTTTCTCTCCCTGGAATACAGTAAACCCACTGAATAGCTGACCAGAGGCGGTGAAACTCATTGCAGGCATCTACATTCATCACCCCATTGGATGGAGGTCCACCATGCCACACCTTGTTGGTTAAAAAAGTCTGAATTCTCTGCAGGACATTGTCAAACATGGAGCCCATAGTGCAGAACCTTTTGCTAGTTATCTCCTCTGCTTCTCTGATCAACAGTTTCTGCTGTAAAGAGAGAGAACTTAACATTTATACATAAGCATAGAAATATATAATAGACTGTCTCTGACAGTAAATATTATTATTAATTCATGTCTACAGCCCCTTTTTCATGCTTTAATAAAACAATAAACAGCTCCTAAACAGAATACATAGCAAATAGAGAACTAACAGTACAAATGAGCTATTTAATAATCTGTTTATAATCACTGGAAGGGAAAAGGCCAATAATAGAATATGCATCCTCTGTTTGGGACCCCTCAACTCAAGAAAACATTAAGAAACTGGAACAGACACAAAATAGAGCAGTGAGATTCATAACAAATGAATATTCACATTTGACTTACCTTTGGTAAAATCACTAAATTTAAAAAGCCTTCAGGACAGAAGACTCAAAAGTAAAGTAGCAATTATACATAAAACACAACCATAATCTTCAAATACAAAAACAAAATTTAATAAAATACTCAGAAAGACACAAAGATAAAGGCACATTCCTCATCTCATATGCTAGGACAAATTTGTACAAATACTCCTTCTTCCCTAGTGCTATTAGAGCATGGAATGGATTGACTGAGCTAGCCAGGAGGACTGGTGACTTGGCAGAATTTAAGTCATTGGTTAATATGCATGACTAAATGCATGACGCGTAGGACGTAATCATATTCTTTTTTGAAGTAACGTCTGTATTATATAAGATAAGATAAAACAAAAGATAATGTACTAATGCTATTGCATGTAGTAGACTGTTTTAAATTGTTTCAACTGAGGCTGAAGGTCTATACCAGTC